TAAATCCTTGGCTAGACTACCTAAGAAAGTTACTACAGTTAAAAAAAAACGAAGGAAGAGACATATGGAATGCCATAGGAATTAAAGCATTATAAGAGCCTAACATGGATAAATTATATGTTAAAAAATTGTGTAATCTAGGAAAAGTGAACAAATTCTTGGTAAATAAAATTTGTTGCAAAAAAAATACGGCAAATGTTCAATGAACTAATACAAGTCTTTCTTTAAATTTTTGAAAACTGAAGAAAAACATTTAAAAATTACTTTTATAGACTAGCATTACTCTAAAACTAAAGCCAAGCATACTATAAGAAAATTATAGATTAGTATCTTTTGGTGATTATGCAAGACTCTTCAACGCAATGCCAGCAAATTAAATTCAACAGCACATGAAAAGGATGATACACTATGGCAAAAGTGAGATCTATCCCTGGAATTCAAAGGGATTAAAAATTATTCAGTGTAACACAACAAATTAACAATATGAAGGAAAACAAAATAATACCCAACCATTACATTTGCTGTGAAAAAGAACTACACAGATTCAATACCCTTTCATGAAAAATTCAACATACTAATAATAGAAGCAAATTGCTTAACACTAGATATCAGTTGTATTTCATATATTAAAAATGTGAAAACAGGGCCCGGCGTGGTGGCGCAAGTGGTTAAGGTCCTCACCTTGCACGCCCGGGATCCCATATGGGCGCCGGTTCTATCCCGGCAGCCCCGCTTCTCTTCCAGCTCCCTGCCTGTGGCCTGGGAAAGCAGTCGAAGATGGCCCAAAGCTTTGGGACCCTGCACCCACGTGGGAGACCTGGAAGAGTCTCCTGGCTTCGGATCGGCATAGCATCGGCCGTTGTGCTCACTTGGGGAGTGAATCATCGGACTGAAGATCTTCCTCTCTGTCTCTCCTCTCTGTATATCTGCCTTTCCAATAAAAAAAAAAAGTGAAAACAGAGGACAGAATAAATCAGGGGGCGCAAATACAATCCCTTTGAAAATACACAATTATAGCAAGAGAAGAGAGAAATAAAAAAGTAATTGAAAAACTTATGAGAACTCTGGAAAAGCATGAAGAAAGCAAATTCGGAAAAGTTAATAGAATTTAGGAGATATTTGAGAATGCCAATGGGTTAGGAAACATATTAAAAGATAACAGAAAGATACAACTATTCAGAAAGAGCAAGGCCAAAGTCAATCAGTGAGATTCAACACAACCAACTCAAGCCACAAAACATAATCAAACTTTCCATATTTAGAAGTGAATATTTTCTAAGTAACCAGATATAATAAACAACTCATAAAAGGGTCCCAATTTTACTGACTTTGGACTTCTTATCAGCAACCTTAAGGGAAAAGAAGGAGTGGGAAAAGATTTTCACAATACTGAAGGACAAAAATTGCTAGCTAAGTATAACTGATAAAGCCAGTCAATTTTCTCAAAGAAAGACAGTTATATCTAGAGAAACAAACACTAAGAGAATTCTATAATCCCTAAGCCCATCATACAGGAAATGCTAAAGTGGCTCTCTAGCTGTCAGGGAGATACAAATAAAAACCACACTGAGGTTCCACCTAACTCCAATGAGGTTGGCTTACATGTAGAACTCTAGCATGGATGAGGGGAGAAAGGTACCCACTTTCACTGCTGGTGGGAGTGTAGGCTAGTAAAACTATAGAAGTCAGTATAGAGAGTGTTTAGAGAACTGCAAACAAAGCTGCCATATGACTCAGCTATCCTGCTACTAGGAATATAGCTGAAGGAAATGAAATCTGCAAATGAAAAGGGCATATATAATCTTATATACATAGCAGCACAATCTACAATAACAAAGATATGAAAACAACACAGATGCCTGTCCAAAGAGGACTGGATAAAGAAACTGTGGTACATCTACTCCGTGGAATACTATTCAGGCCATTAAAAAGAATGAAATTCTACCATTTGCAACTGGCTGTTCCCAACTGGAGACCATTATGCTTGGTGAAATAAGTCAATCCCAAAAGGACAAATACCATATGTTCTCTCTGACATTAGGCAACCTTCATGCAAATTAAAAGATCAATAGCCCTTTCAATACTGTTTTTTTTTAAAAGATTTATTTATTTATTGGAAAGTCAGATATACAGAGAGGAGGAGAGACAGAAAGGAAGATCTTCCGTCTGATGATTCACTCCTCAAGTGAGCACAACGGCTGATGCTGTGCCAGTCCGAAGCCAGGATCCAGGAACCTCTTCCGGGTATCCCCCATGGGTGCAGGGTTCCAAGGCTTGGGCCATCCTCAACTGCTTTCCCAGGCCACAAACAGGGAGCTGGATGGGAAGTGGAGCTGCTGGGACTAGAACTGGTGCCCATGTGGGATCCCAGTGCATTCAGGGCGAGGACTTTAGCCGCTAGGCCACTGTGCCGGGCCCTCAATACTGTTTTTGCTTCAACTCATGGGTTTTGGTAATTTTGTTTTTATTTTCACTTATTCAAAAGTTTCTTTTCTCATTAAACTCTTCACTGACTCATAAATCATACAGTAGCATCATTTTCTCCAAGAAGGGATTTTTAAAAAAATTTCTTCATTGACACACTGGTTACTCCATAGTATGTTATTTAACTCCATGGTGTAGTAAATTTTTAAAATTTTATTCCTGGGCCCGGCGCGGTGGCGCAGTGGTTAAGGTCCTCACCTTGCACTGCTGGGATCCCATATGGGCGCCGGTTCTATCCCGGCAGCCCCGCTTCCCTACCAGCTCCCTGCCTGTGGCCTGGGAAAGCAGTCGAGGACAGCCCAAAGCTTTGGGACCCTGCACTCACGTGGGAGACCCGGAGGAGTCTCCTGGCTTTGGATTGGCATAGCATCTGCCATTGCGCTCACTTGGGGAGTGAATCATCGGACGGAAGATCTTCCTCTCTGTCTCTCCTCTCTGTATATCCGCCTTTCCAATAAATAAATAATAAAAATAAATCTTTTAAAATTTTATTCCTGTTATTGATTTTGTTTTCAGGCTTTTTCATTTAAGGAAATGTATGTTAACTGTGTAATAGAGACTATCATATTCATATGTGAAGAAACAATGCATTATGTACCTCTACATCCAAACTGAAGATGGATTCCAAATGAAATTGTTGGATATATCTTGACAATAGGATGTTAGACTATCTAGCAATCTTTACCAGCAATGTCAGGATACATTTAAATGGCAGAATTATGGACTTATGACTGCTTATGAAGGACTATACTACTGTAATAATATGGGGGAAATCAGTAGGGGGCAGGAAATTTGGGGAAAGAGTAACAGAAATCCCAGAGCCTATGGAATTGTATGATAAAGTTAACAATAAAATAGGAGAGAGAGAGAGAGAGAGAGAGAGAAAGAGAAAATGCTAAAGCAGTTCTGGTGCAATAGCTTAGTCACTAAATCCTTGCCTTGCATCTGCCAGGATCCCATATGGGTGCTGATTCATTACCTGAATGCTCCACTTCTCATCCAGCTCCCTGCTTGTGGCCTGGGAAAGCAGTCGAGGACGGCCCAAAGCCTTGAGACCCTGCACCCTCATGGGAGACCTGGAAGAAGCTCCAGGCTCTTGGCTTCAGATTAGCTCAGCTCCGGCCTTTGTAGCCACTTGGGGAGTGAATCAGTAGACAGATCTTTCCCTCTGCTTCTCCTTCTCTATGGATCTCCTTTTTGTACATCTGCCTTTCCAACAATAAAAGAAATTTTTTAAAATGATAAAGGAAGTTCTTTATGCTGAAAAACAGACACTAGGGGCCAGCATGACGGTTCACATGGCTAATCCTCCACCTGAAAGTGCCAACACCTTGGCTGCTCCACTTCTGATCCAACTCCCTGAATATAGCCTGGGAAAGCAGCAGAAGATGGCCCAGTCCTTTGGACCCTGAACCCACATGGGAGACACAGAAGAAGCCTCTGTCCCCTGTCTTCTGGCTTCAGATTGGCTCAGCTTTGATTGTTGAGGTCATCTGGGGAGTGAACCAGCAGAAGAGAAGATCTTTCTCTCTCTGTTTCTCCTTATCTCTGTAATCTGCATTTCCAATACAAATAAATAAATCTTAAAAAAGCAAAAGTTAAGAAATGTTGAGAAATAGGTAATGTAGAAAGAGGTAAAAAGAGACATAAAAATTCAATGTTGTGAATAATAGAGTGGAAGTAAGGCTTTGTTAAAGTTTTTTCCCCTATAATCAATGACAATTTGTTTAAAAATTTCAATTGCATATTATAACAAAAAGATGTTTTTGGTAAGCCTCATGGTAAACAAAAAATTCATTTTTTGTAAGCACCTTATGTTGTGAAGGTCCTTTTAAATACTGCTTTTGCTACATCTCATGGGTTTTGATATTTTTGTTTTTATATTCATTTCTTCATAAACTTTTTTCTTATTAATTTCTTCAGTGACACACTGGTCATACAGTAGCATTTTTTTCAAGAAGTTTTTTAATTTTATTTTTCATTTTTTCAGTGACATATTGGTCATTCTGTAGTATGTTATTTAACTTCATGCTGCTGTAAATTTTCTATTTTTGTTCCTGTTGATTTTGTTTCATGGCTTTTCATTTACAGGATATATAGTAACTGTGTAATAGAGAGTATCATATCCAGATGTGAAGATACAATGCAGTATGTATCACTACATCCAAATCAAAGATGGATTCCCTATGAAACCGTTAAATATAAACTGTTGTTTATAGCCTTCTACTGAAAATTTTGATAAAAAAAATCCCAAACAGCATAAGTAGATAAACAGTAGTAATATGGATATCTAAATTATTTTGAAATGTATGGGTATTAAGGTTAAATAGTTTGTGTTAGTATTAGTTTCTTAATTTGTTCAAATTGTTTCCCTACTCTAGAATGAACTTTTCATGACGAATAAGAATATTAAACTAGAAAGTGTTGGTACTAAACGAAGATGCAAAGTCAGAAAACTTGTATAAAACCCTCTCAGAAAGGCCATGCATGGAATGGTAGCTGAATTTTTTATGTACCTGGAGAGAAGACTATGCTCAGGCACGTGTTGAATCCAGTGATGGCCAAGATGTCATCCAAGCTGCTCGCAGCTATCAGGAGGGTTGGGATGCCTTTCTCAACACCATATCCATTTTCCTGCAGAAGCAGCATGGAAGGAACAACAACAGCAGGAGAGACCGCACCTAGCACAAAGCTGAAAGAAAGATGTGGAAAGCCAATTGGAAAACACCCTTTTACCAATGAGTGTTTCTTTGTAAACTGTACAACAAATACATTTACCTTTACAGTAATTTCATGTGCAAAGATTTGCTCTGAGTAAATGCCATCTAATAGTGTTAAAACGTTCCAGGCATTCTTTAGTATTGGCTAGAATTTTACAAAGATATGGTTCAGGATGTTAGGCTGAACACAACTGCAGCCTCTCTCCCTGTCCTGAAATCCTTTAACATAAAGGGTGTAACAACACTACAAAAAGCAGTAAACTAAATACATAACAAAAACGGAAGCTTCAGTGGAGTAGAAACAGGTAGATCATAGGAATACAAGAGGAAAACAGTCTAGTATTGGAAAAAGAACCATAAGTCAAAATGCATGTAAATAAAGTTCATTACAAAAGATATGGTATATTCCTAAACGTGCTCAAAGCTTAGAATTGATGGATGCTGGGAGCAAGAAAACCAGATGGGTGACTACTGGGAGGGCCACTGTTAAACCGGCCACACATCTGCCCACTGCCGCCATGTTGGTGGGTGGAGTCTAGGTAAGTCTGAGCAGTGGCACAGATATCTGGATCCCGCAGACATGTGGCTGTGGCTGGGGGTGCCCATGCCAGCTCAGGCTTCTTGCTGGGGATCCTAGCTCCCCATCCACCACTGCCAGGCAGGGGGAGGGTCCTCAGCTTGTGACTGGTCAGAGTACCTACTGGCACTAGGCTTTGCCCACTGGCCACCTGGTGGTGAGCGCTGGGGTCTTGGGGGTATGGAAATTACTGCCTAGGGATATCCATGGATAAGGCCATGGTACCTGTTGGTGAGGAATGAATCCTGAGGGACACCCAAAGACAGGGCCACTGTACTTGCAGGTAAGTGAGGGGACTGAGACCTGGTGGTTGGAGGGGAGAGACCTGAAGATCTTTATGCAAGAGCCTACATGGAAGTCCTGGGTTGGGCTTGTTAGCATGGAACATGGCTGACCACCACACACCACTGCACATGCAAGCTATGGCTGGGGGCTTGTCGGGCAGGGCTAGATTCCAATACATGACAGTGAGTGTTGGATCCGGGGATGGGTCACATTAGACTGGTTGACACCAGCCAACATGCAAGAGAATCAGGTCTGGAGTTGGATTCTGTGGGGGATGTATGGGCCCAACCAGTAAGAAATACAAGTCTCGCTGATTAGCTTGAGGGTTGGGATGGTGATGGGCTGAGGTAGGTGTGTCCATGGAACTCATTGATGCTCACTGATGCTCTCTGGTACTGGGGCCTAGAACAAGTGGGCAGGTCCTGGCTGCAGTACCTGCATGAACACTCTAAAACAGGGTGTGGGGCAGGCTGGGACACAACAATTCATATAAAGGCCAGGGTAGCTGGGGCAGGCCATGTTGCATAAAGCCAATCATCTGCTGGCGGGCATGAGATCTGAGGATTTTGGAGTGGCCTCCGTGGGTAATAGCTACTGCTGATGAGTACACGGTCCAGGCCTGGGTATTGGGCAAGTTGGGCAGGGTAGCTCCATCTGTTGGCAAGTGTGAGAGTTGGCTTTGGAAGGGAGTGGACCAAGTGGCATCAAGTAAATCTTAGCCCTCTGGCAAGTGCAGAAACCAGGATGGAGTGCAGGTCATGCTGGGCTAGGCTGCCGCACTTGGTCTGCATGAGCCAGGGATGAGAGCAGATTGAGCAGAGCCAGGTTGTAGCATCTGCGAGCGAGAGTTGGGACTGAGAGCCAGCTGTACCAGGCTGGGTTGCAACATCTGAAGACAAAGGCCAAAACAGGGAGGGGCCATGCCAAGCTGCTGAGAGCAACCACTGGCACACATGAGATCTGTGGCTGGGATCAAGCCTGGGTGGGGAGCTAAGGGGACACCCTGGCTGGACTGCGGTTCCCACTGGTGAATGCAGGGGCCAGAGTGGGGGCTGTGGTCTCGTCTGGACATGACTGCAGTGTCCCTCGGCATGGGTGTGGACTGGGTCTGAGGTGTGCAAGACTGGGCTAGTCTCTAGCACCCATTGGAGCTCATGCGAACTTGAGCCATTGGAGATGGGTGTAGGATGGCCTGGGCTAGGTCTCTGTTCCTGCTGAACTATGTGCAGGCTGTGTCTGTGTATGGACCAGGTTTGGCTGGGCTATAGCATCCAAAAGTAAGAACCAAAATGGGTGAGGGCCAGTCAGGAAAGGCCACTGTTCCTGCTAGGACAGGAGGTAGACTAAGTAGGGCTGGCCCATGGACCCACTGGTATGCACGAGATCTGGCATTGGGAAGGGTTCTGATGGAGGAGTGGAGGAGCTTGAGAAACTCCTCTGTTGGGACACAGTTCCTGCAGGTGAGCATAAGAACCAAGAAAGGGAGTGGCCAGACCAGGGAGTGGTACCTACTGGCTTACCTTTGGCTCAGGTCAGTGGTGAGCCAGTCTGGGCCAGTTCATATCACCTGCTGGCAAATCTGAGTACCAGAATGGTGTGTGGGTCATGCCAGGTCAGGCTGCAATACCAGCCAGTTCACATTAGGGCCAGGACTAGAGCTGGCTGGGTTAGCTAGGCTGTAGTCCCCACCAGCATGAGTTGGAACTAGGAGTGGGCTATGCTGGGCCAGGCTACAGCACCCACTGGCAAATGCCGAGGTGAGGTGGGCCAGACTTAGGGGAGAGTGGGTAAACTCAGTAGGAGAGCTGGCAGGGAACTCCCCTGCTGGGCCACTATTCTCACTGGTGCTGTGAGAGCTGGGATTAGGGGCAGACCAGGATGAGCAGAGCTGCAACACTTGTTAGCCTCCTTGTGAGCTGGATTGAGGATAAGTCAGGCTGGGTGGACTGTACCAACTGGTACACGCACAAGCCAGAGAGGTGATGGTTGGTTGAGATTTTCTGAAGCATCAGCTAGCAGATGCTGGCACAGGCGGGAAACTGTTGAGCTTAACTGCAGTATCACCTGGAGAGTGCAAAATCTGGGAGTGGGAATTGACTCAGTAGGGAAATAATGGGCACTTCCCTTTTGGGTGCCACTCCCACTGGTGAGTATGAGAACCAGACTGGAACAGGCATGGCTAGACAGAGAGTGGCACCCACCAGCACATGTGTGGCTGGATAGTGGGGCTGGTTGGGTTGAACTAGGCTTCTGCCCATTGAACATGTATAGAGTTGAATGGGATGTGAGAGAGACAGGACCAGTCTGCTGTACATACTGGAAAGCACAGGAACCAGGGAAGGAGGTGGGCCTGGTGGAGATTATTGTGGGTTGCTCTGACTAGGCTTCAGCTCCCAGTCATTTGCATGGGGGCTGAGTGTGTGGTGGGCAGGATTGGGACTGTAACATCTAATTAGTTTGGGTAGAAGACAGGGCTAGAGACAACTGACCTAGCAACTACAACTATCAGTGCGCACAGGCCAGTTTGGGTGACAGACTGTGGCAGACCCTGTATTGGCATACACTCACAAAAATCAGATCTGGGACCACCTCAGATGAAGTTTATCCCCCCAATTGAACCTTTGGACTCAAAACTCAAACTATGGAGGAAATTGCGGTTTCCAATGTCTGATCATGGAATGCATGTATCAGAGCTGGGCCTCCTCAGTGGCTTGGATGGAGCAGTGTACAGCATATCCAGATGTATATGGAGTATACTGGAGCCTACAGAGGACACCCGATACCATAACAGAGGATGGAGGAGAGAACAAATTGATTAACTATCGCAGTCAAGTGTTGCCTGTGAAAATCCAGGCAAGTGGAGACTCCAAGGTCAACGATGTCAGCCAGTGGAGTCTGGAGAGATTTCATCATGAGTGGCAAGATCGACAGCAATACAGAACTACTGAACTATCAAAACCAACCGAGCAGGACCCTCGGAGCATGCTCCACATCAGGGACCCTGGGATGTTTGGGAGGCTGGGTGTGGCTTCTCCCCTTTCTCCTTCCCCCAGATACAGGAATGAAAGAAGAGAATGTAAAAACAATGGTCACACCCACTTTTCTCCAGCCCTTGACCCTTTGCACTCAAATCAAATATGTAAAAATTATCAAAAATTTTTAAAAATCCAGGCAGGATAAGAAGTAAAAATAACAAACAAACAGAAAAACCAAAAACAGCCACACAAATCTACACAACATACTGCTAATTATCCCTTGAATAAGTCAAAAGGTATAGAAGTATCTGTACAAAATCAGAAAAAAATCAGTAATATCTCTTAATTTACAGATAAAGAAGAAAATTCCTAGGAATAGTTGATAATATGTACAAGGAATGGATAAACTACTGCTATGGCCATCATCTGTTGGCATTTCTTATCAAGAACTTTGCCTCATTTCTTTCACATTTACTTTTTATTTAAACATTTTAGTATTTAAAAATATTTATTTATTTTTAGTGCAAAGTCAAATATACAGAGAGGATAATGATTCACTCCTCAAGTAGCCACAATGACCAGAACGGAGCCAATCCTAAGCCAAGAGCCAAGAGCCAAGAGCCAAGAGCCAAGAGCCAAGAGCCAAGAGCCAAGAGCCTCTTCTGCATCTCCCATGCAGGTGCAGGGTCCCAAGGCTTTGGGCTGTCCTTGGCTGCTTTCCCAGGCCACATCAGGGAGCTAGATGGAAAGTGAGGCCGCTGGGATTAGAACCAGTGCCCATATGGGATCCTGGCATGTTCCAGTCAAGGATTTGAGCCGCTAGGCTACTGTGCCTGGCCAAAAATTTTAGTATTTTTATATTAGTTTTAAATAAAGACAGAGTAAAAGACACTGAAAGCTCTTCCATCTTCTGATTCATTCCCTAGACAGCTGAAATAGCCAGGGATATACCAGGCCAAAATCAGGGGCCTTAACTCTATCTGGGTCTCCCACATGTTGTGGCAAGGATTCAGGTACGTGGTCTATCTACCACTACCTTTCCAGGTACATTAGCAGGAGCTGGATCAGAAACAGAGCAGCCAGGACTAAAACTTTTGCTCCAAGATGGGATGTTGGCAATGAAGCATAACCTGTGCCACAACATTGGCACCCCCCAACACATTCACTTTTTTTTTTTTTTGAAAGGCAGATTTACAGATGGAAGGAGAGACAGAAAGGGAAAGATCTTCCATCTGCTGGTTTACTCCCTAAATGGTTTGAACAGTCAGAGCTGAGCTGACCTGAAGCCAGGACCCAAGAGTTTCTTTTGGGTCTCCTACTCAGGTACAGGTTCCAAGCTTTTGGGTCATGCTTCATTGCCTTTCTAGGCCACAGCAGGGGGATAGATCAAAAGTGGAACAGCCAGGACATGAACATATACTTGTATGGGATGCGGCACTTGCAGGTTAAAGACTACCCAGTTGAGCCATCACGCTGGCCCCATGTTTACCTCTTTTGAAATGTTCCCTGGGTAAAGATGGTCTTGCTGACTCCACCATAACTCATGGACCAGGCCAGAGAACATACCCTCCTTCTTGGCTGTCACCTATTGACACCTGTAGGATTCTAAGACCTTTGCCTTGCTGGTAAGAGCCTACCTGGGATCCTGGAGAGGTTTCTCCTTACTCTGTTCCTTCAGACCACTTCTGTCAATGACTGATGATGAAACTCTAAGAGTTCAATTCATTTTTTCTGGTTATACAATCTCTATGGTACAATTTGTGTTTTGGATTTCCCTGTGAGTTCAAGAACAGACCAGACTTTCTTGAAACCACTTATTTTCCTAGATCAGTGGTTGCTGAAATCTGTTGCACATTGGAATTACCTACCATACTATTTATTTATTTTTTGCCACCCTGCAAATCATCTCCCAACATAGCACCTTTTTAAATTTTTAAATTTTATTTTTAATTTTGTTTATATAGTTGGGAGGGATGCATACCCAAGTAGGCCTCTGATTAGGGTGGGGAGGATCAAGGTATGGAGGAAGGTGAGTGGAATACATGTTTCAATTTTTTTTCTCCTGTGTCTGCATGGCAGGGAGTGGGGAAAAAACTGCAAAACTGTATCAACACTCAGGGATGGGACATGGTCATTTGATGATGACTTGGAGATCCTGGTGTGGGGAGGGGACAGTGTTCACCTGAGTGATTTTGATAGTTATAAGAAGTTATGAGATGTTGTTAGCTTCAATGCACCAGGGTCAAGAAAATCTTTCCAAGGTCTATTGGTTGACAAAGTCCACCTTAATATATCCACAAACCCAGGAACATGCTATAAAACTTGGCCAGAATTGTCTAACCTATTCTGCTGTCCATAGTCTGACGAGATACTCTATATCCTGTACTGGCCTAGATTAGCTGGCTGTCATGTCCCCTACGTGCATCCAAACATGCTGTCCACTACATAGGCAGCAGAGACTGAGGAGGCCCACTCCTGACACATGCACTCCAAGGTGAGATCATACATATCGTGATTTTCCCTGTGGCCAGAGTTTGAGTCTAGTGATCTAGTTGGAGAGTCCCCCAAGAAACCTCGCCTGGGGTGACCTCAGACTTGACTCTTGTGTGCACTAGTCTATGCAGGGTCAGGTTTGGTCTGTCAGCTCATTAGACAACGTTTGTACTGGTGGATGCAGGTTGCCTAGTCAGTTCCACCTCCAGCCTCATCTCTCATGTGAACTGATGGGTGATATGGCCTCGCCCAGCCCTGCCCACCACAGGCCCACTCCATGTACACCAGTGGGTGCCATGGCCTTATCACAGCTATTGGTTGACTTCAGTCTCTAGCCACAGCAGCTCTCTGAGAAAGAGAAGGCAAGAGAACATGCATGACAGCACCACACGCTTCTTGTAGGCTAATCTCGCAGTGACAATCTATCTGAGCATCAGAAGCAGCACAGTGAGTTTAGCCCACCCTCAAGAATAAGGAGCAGAAGGTAGATGCCACTGATGCTTAGAGACTGAGAGGCTTAGTGGATAAGTATGCCTGTCCCCAATACTAAAACATTCTGAACTAGTAAGTCTGGAGTGTAATCTGAAAGTTGAGTAACTTTTTTGGAGCTGTAGTAAAAGATATGGAATATAAAATTTGCTTGTTTAACTATTTTTCAGTATATACTCAGCAGTGCTAACTATATTACATTGTTGTACAAGAGACTGGCAGAACTTTTTCACCTTGTAGGTTCCACATCCATCAAGCAATTCCCCTATTCTCTTTAGTTACAAAACCATGATAAGTTATGTTATGACTCTGATTACTCTAAGCCATTCATAGAACTGGAGCCACACAGTATTTGTCCTTTTATATTTAGGTCATTTCCATCAGCATCATGTTTTAAGGTGCATATTCATGCTGCAGCATATTTTAGGATTTTTCTCTCTCTTTTTTTAAATTTTGCTTTTAGAATTTCTCTTTTTTTGTTTTCTAATTTTGCTTTTAGGATTTCTCTTTTCATATGGCTGAATCATGGCCCACTGATGCTCATGTTGATTGTTTTCATCCTTTTATTACTGTAAATCATTCTGAAATGAATATGTGTGCAAATATCTTTTAAAGAAATTACTTTCAAATTATTTTGAATGTATACCAGAAGGGGGATTCATGGACCATGTGGTAATTCTACTTTAGTTTATGAGGAACTCCAAAATTATTTGCCTTTAATAGTTTACATTTCTACGAGTAGTGTCCATGGGTTTCATATTCTCCATATCTTAGGCAACACTTGTTATTTTGTGTAAGTTGGCTAGCCTAGCTGACGTGAGGTGGTATATCAATGTTTGTTTTTAAATAAACTTTTATTTAACTATTTTTAATTTTTCTATTTTCAGTTTTGTTTTACAATTTTATTTCATTATTTTACTTGAGAGTCAGAAAGAGACAGAGATGGGAGTCATCTGCTGGGTCACTCTTTAAATGACTGCAACAGCTGAGGTTAAGCCAGGCTAAATCTGGAAACTAGTAACTCAAGTCCGGTCTCCCACGTGGGTTGTAGAGACCAAACTTGTACCTTCACTGGGAGTTAATTAAATTATTTTAGTAAACCATTATACCTGAATATTTTACTGGTTTAGCAGTTTATGTTTAGTTATAACTAATATTTATTAAACTGGACTATTTGCAGACATTCAAAGCTTCAAAAGATTTGTCATATAAAGACCCATTTCATGAAACATAAAAAATGATACGCAAACTAAAATAATTGCAGAAAGGAAAAATAAGATACAATGGAAAAATTGAAGCCAAGTAATAAATGCTAGATTTAAATTGAACAGTACTGATAATTATGTTAAATATAAGTGGCTTAGATATTCTAATTAAAAGAACTTGTCAGACTTAATAAGAAAGCCTAATCATATACTGGTTATAAGAATTTTAAACATATAAATACAAATCATATTTTTAGATAAAATCACTTAGTAATTGGAAATTAAGCTAAAAACAGAACTTTAGACAACTTAAGAAACAAAGAATTCAAAGGAATATATGTACGACTAACAAAACAAACTGACAATTGTAAAATATTAATGAGATAAATTATAAAAAACATGAATAAGTTGATAGATCAAATCATGGTCAGAAATGGTAAAACTCAATATTACGTGTCAATTACTTCTGAATATATCTATAGATTTAAACCTAAAAACAATAAAAAACCAAGAGGGGGATTTTGTCTTTTATCTTGGTTAAAAAAAAAAAAAAAGAACATGTGCAGAAATCAATTTATTTTACTGTAGGTTTACATATAATATGGGGGTCCTTCAAAAAGTTGATGGATATTGTATATTTTGAAAAACTCATGCAGAGATTAAAAATTTTCTTGCATCAAAGTAAACTTACATTTTAATTTCATTTTCACAAATGTCTTTAAGTTCCCTGTACATATGTTTGTGGAAGTCCAGAATGTTATTGTTAAACACCTACAATGCATGAAAATGATGACTAGTCACTTTGGGGAGGGAACAGGCAGTAAGATTTGAACATACAGTCAAAGGAGATTTCACTTTTTTATTTTCTAAAATGTATTTGTTTGAAAGGTAGAGTTACAGAGAGAGGGAGGAAGGGGAGGGGCAGGAGGATGGGGAAGAGAGAAAGAGAGAGAGAGAAAGAAACAAAGAAAGAAAGAAAATCTTCCATCCAGTGGTTCATTGCCCAAACGGCTGCACTGGCCATAACTTGACTGTCCTAAACCAGGAGCCAGGAGTTTCTTATGGATCTACCATGTGGGTGGCAGGAAATCTAGGACCTGGGCCATCTTCTATTGCCTTTCATGGCACATTAACAGGGAGCTGAATCTGAAGTGGAAGAGCAGGGAGTTGAACTGGTATCCATGTGATACCAGCACTGCTGGAGGAAGTTTAAACCACTAAGTCACAGAGCTGGCCCTGGGCACTTCACTTTTACCTAAAAAGGTCTAATTTCATAATAAAATTAATTTTAAAAAATCTATTGGATTTGGCATTAAGTACGTGACAGGTGACTTTGCCATAAATTTCACTGGAATGGATATTTTCAGGCAGAAGTTAATAAATTAAAAATGAAAAGGAGTCAGGATATATAGAAATAATTAAGACTCATTTTGAGAAACCTGGATGTAAGAGAACCGGATGGTGGGTAAAGACAGATGGGCAGTGAATCCAGCAAAAGAGTTTTCACTTTTGTTTTCAAACAGAAGTATTTTACTTAATGTATTTAACAAATAAATCGTTTTAATTAATTAACATATATTAGATTATATAAATTATTTATTTAATAAAAACATTAAATCTTTCTCACACAGTATATGAGGAAGAGGCCATTGACAGGTTACAACATACAGCTATATTACAGTAGAAAAGAAAGAATACACTAATGAAGCGAATTTTCTTAGTACTATATATTTAGTGACCATGAGTGCTTGTCAAAGACATGACAGATTTTAGATATAGTTCTACCTTTGATTAAGTGATATCCATGACTCTGCTAATGTAAAAACAATTTTAACAAAGAGTCTGTCTATGTAATATTTGAATAATTCAATACTTTAAATTAGAATCCTTAACTGAATATTTTCATAAGTAAAAATGAGAAAAGTTTACCCTAATAGAAATCCCCATTCCCAGGGAAATTTCATAATGAGGCGGGAAAAAACAGCAGCTGAACAGGCCTCCATGATACATGGACCCACAGACAGTCTCAGACAAACTCCCTTCAAATTCTTCAAAGCCTGAAATACAAAAAATTTCACATTTCAATACATTTTACAATGGCCAACAAGAAAACTTCTTAAGCAAATATGGAATATAGAGTCTTTCTTGAGTGGTAGGCTTTTGCTAAACTAAATCTCATTGGGACAGACTGTCCCTTGATTTTGAACTCTAATACTCAAACATGGTTTGATTATAAACAGTTTTACATTGAATAAAACACTTAAATTTAATTATTTTAAAGATTCATTTTTGGGTCAGCACTGTGGAATAGAAGGTTAAAGCTTTCTCTGCAGTGATGGTAACCTGCATGAACACCAGTTCAAATTAGGGCTGTTCTACTTCTGACCAGCTTCCTGCTAATGTGTCAAGGAAAGCAGATGGCCCGGGTGCTTTGGCCTCCACACCCACAGGAGAGAACCAGGACAAGTTCCTGGCTCTTGGCTTCAGACTGGCTCAGTTCCTGTTACTGTGGCCACCTGAGGAGTGAACCAGTGGATGAAAGGTCTGGCTCGGACTCACTCTCTCTTTCTCCCTCTCTTTCTTTCTCTCCCTCTAACTCTTCCTTTCAAATAGATACTCATTTCTTTGTGATTAAATAATTATGTCTACATTCCCTAATTTTCCTAATAAACGATAATGTTCCATAGATTTTTCTCCTATTAGTTAACTTTTGGAAATGGACTGTTTGGTTAGCTTAATAAACAGTAAATATCAGTGTGCTAAAAAGAAAATCACTTAAAATATGCACAATTGGGCACAGTGCGTTAACCTAGTGCCGGGATTCCATATTAGTACCGTTTGTGTCCTGGCTGCTCGACTTCCCATCCAGCTCCCTGCCTGCGGCCTGGGAAAGCAGTCAAGGATGGTCCAAAGCCTTGGGACCCTGCACCCGTGTGGGAGACCTGGAAGAAGCTCCAGGTTCTTGGCTTCAGATCAGCTCAGCTCTAGCCTTTGTGGCCACTTGGGGATTAAACCAGTGTACAGAAACTCTTTCTCTGTATATCTACCTTTCCAATAAAACTAAAACAACTACAGCAACAAAACCACATACAACTAACTTAAAAAGGGGGAATTCTTCCATTTTTTTTTCAAGGCTCAAATTTTCTACTCAAAAATACAATCATTTATCACTTGGTATGATTATTTATGCTTTTGAGATTGTATTTCCATTAAGTTCATACACTTGCCACATTTTTTTTTTTCGGATAGCTTTAACATTCATGAACAATCATCTTGAAATTCAGATTTATGATGTCTAGATTGTGATATTTCAAAAAACACTGTTCAAAGATAATCAAGATCATGAATGAAGAAAAAGTAATATAACAAAAATATGTTTGAAACTCTTAATCTCCCAAAATATTAAGAAAAAAAGAGCCTTTTCCAGGGAGAACTAAATATTTAACTGAAAAGTACTCTATAAAAAAGTATCCTAGGGCCTGGCAAGGTAGCCTAGTGGCTAAAGTCCTTGCCTTTTGCACACTGGGATCTCATATGGGTGCCAGTTCTAACCCCAGTAGCCCCGCTTCTCATCCAGCTCCCTGCTGTAGCCTAGGAAAGCAGTCGAAGACAGGCCCAAAGTCTTGGGACCCTTCATCAGTGTGGGAGACCCAGAAGAAGCTCCTGGCTCCTGGCTTCAGATTGGCTCAGGTCTGGCTGTTGCAGCTGCTTGGGGACAGAAGATCTTCCTTTTTGTCTCTCTTCCTCCACTGTGGTTCTTTCAGGAGTGAACCACTGGATAAAAGATCTGTCTGTCTCTTTCAAATAAGGAAATAAATTCTTTTTTTAAAAAGATGAGTTCAAGTAAAGACGTTCCTTCACACTAATTGGTCTTCATATCAGTAGTAAAAATGGCTAGAAATAAAACTAAGGTACAATAGTTCTGAAAAGTCTTTTTTTCCTTAATATAATTTTGCTTACAGATTCCAACTAGAATGGTCACAATAAAAATTCTGTCTCTTTCCCCACCACCTCTTAATATTTGAAATAACTTTACTCAAGTTACAATTGGCAATATACCTGTGGATCGAGTCCAAGCCCAGCTCGTATTAGGATAATGGTAAGGGCAGTGTTTCTTAAAGTTGAAGACCATGTGGTATGAATGCGGACATGCTTACTGATAAATGGAACATTTCTGATAAGAAAACCAGCCAATAGCATCCCTTAAAAGAAAGAAGGCAAAATATGGCTGACTTAGTTCATTTTTGCGAGGAAAAAAAAATACTTAAATTTTTTTCTCTTTAAACATTCCTTCTCTCATTGCTTTGGTAAAAGATTACATGAAAGTAGTGATGAAACGAATAAGGATTGGATACAGAAACAACAAACCTAGGACCCAGCATGATAACTTGGCTGAATCCTCTTCCTGCATGTGCTGGGATCCCCTATAGGCGCTGATTCTAATCCTGGTGGCCCTGCTTCCCATCCAGCTCCCTGCTTGTGGCCTGGGGAGGCAGTCGAGGACGGCCCAAAGCCCTGGGATCCTGCACCTACATGGGAGACAGGAAAGGAGCCTCTGGCTTCAAATTGGCTCAGCTCTGGCCATTGCGGCCACTAGGCAGTGAATCAGTAGACGGGAAGATCTTTTTCTGTTTCACCTTCTCTCTGTAAATCTGCCTTTCCAATAAAAATAAATAAATCTTTTTTTAAAAAAAACCCCAACAATTCTAAATGGAAATCTAAATCCATGCATGGAATGGGCAAGGATGGAAAGGGAGAATGAGCTGGAGTGGCCAGGTCACTGAACTTGCCCTCCCCTTTGCCACAGTGAGGCACTGGCAGGTTTCAGGCAGCAAGTGGAATATTGAGCCTTACATTTTCTTTGTGATTACCTCACCAATTAAATAAAACACTTGAGACAGACCAGTTATAATGTTCTGCCATAGTCAATTCAAAAGCTAGTAACAGGCTAAGCTGCAGCAAATGCGGAACTTTGGACAGGAGGGAAAAGATTTGATGAATACTTAGGAGCTGCTTCTAGCAGGATATTATGGACACAAAAAGAATGTTAGAAATAACAGAGATTATTGTTACTGACTGCATATTGGGTAATTTAAATGTATTTTTACTTAGAAGATATGAGGCATACCTTCTCACAAAAACTTTTCTACTAATTTTTGTTTGTTTAGTTGAACACCTACAGAATAACAGTGATGAAGAAATAGATTATAATGTAGGTGAGTCATATGGCATACCCATGAATATACACAGTGGAGATGTGCAAACAATTTACTAAAAGAGACCATAAGGCTTCTAAAAATTTGACTGTTGTAATTGTATTTTAGGTTATCTACAAAGTCTTTTGCAATCCTTTTCCATGTTATACTTAAAATCAAGAAAAACATCCTCATAAATGATACAGCAAAAAGAATCATACACTGAAGATATACAAATTATTTACAAAATAGATTTGGAAAAAAAATTTGAAAAATAACACAAATATAAGTAAGAGTCCTCTTGGGGTGAGTGTTGTGGCACAGCAAGCGAAGTCAGTGTCTACGGTGCCAGCATGCTATGGGAGCACTGGTTTGAGCTCCAGCTGCTTCACTTCCATTTTACCTGCCCACTAATTCACCAGAGAAAGAGGTAGAATATGGTCCAAGCTTCTGGACCCCTACCACCCTGTGGAGTTCCAGGCTCATGTTGCAGCTACGTAGGTAATGAATCAGTGAATGGAAAATCTCTGCCTACACACACACACACACACACACACACACACACACAGTGAATGCACATACAAAGAAGCTGTATAAATCACATAACAAAATATTCTAAATTGTATCTAGTCGAACTAGAAAAATTTTCACAATTTACACATAGTAACAAAGAGAACTACGTACTTACCAAGAAGAGGTGGGAGTGGAGGCACTGAACGTATTCTAATGAGTTGCAAAAGTTTTCCCCCAATAACAGCACTATAAAAAATAACTAAGAGTCCGAATAAACTTCCACCAGGGAGTACTAAAGAGCCAATGAGTGACCAGGATATACACCATATCATAAAAAGTAGAACTCCTGAAATAGAAAACAAAGATATTTATCTATATTGACATATACACATAGTAATGTGTGTTATATATTTATATATTAACTGCCAGCATTATATAATGCACATAGTATAGAGCACCATAGCTTACTCATGTGGTTGAAGACATATCTGCTTAACATATTTCAAGTTCCCTGTAAATTCACTGGACTAATTTTAAACAAAGCACTTTAAGAAAATGGTGTAAAGGTATATATTCATTCTTTGAAGTGGTAATGTTTCACAGTGCCAACATTGTGATATTGCACATATAGCTGCTGCCTAGAGTGCTAGCATCCTATATGGGCTCTTATTCATGTTCCAGCTATTCAACTTCATTCAACTAATGGCCTGGGAATATCAGTGGAAATGACCCAAGTGTTTGGACCCCTGCTACTCATATGGAAATCTGGATGAAGCTTCTGGCTCATGGCTTTGGCCTGGCTTATCCCTAGCTGTTGCAGTTGCATGGGAAGTGAATCAACAGAAAGAGCATCTTTCTCTCTAGCCATTGCTCTAGTTGTGGGTGTTTTGAGGAGTGAACCAGCATATGGCACATCCCTCTATCTGTTGCCTTTCAGAAGAGTATTTCATGCCTTGAATTGTAATTGCTAATATTGATTTGTTTAGGACTTCGAGTTTAAAAACAAGAACTAAACTATCTTGGAAAATACAAATATTTCCTAAGAGTCATCAACAGTTAGCATGATGTCTTGTCTGATGCTTTAACCTACATTGAAGCAACTGAAGGTTTTCTATATTTTAAAATTTATTAACTAAAAAGAGAGATTTCATGAATGTTATAGGTACCAAAAAAGCACAGTGATATTTTCCTTTTTTCCTCCTGCCCTTTTTCTTCTTCTTTTTTTTTTAAACAAAACTTATTTTTATTGTAAAGGCAGATTTACAGAAAGAAGGAGAGAGGCAGAGAAAGCTCTTCCTCCCACTGTTTCACTCCCCAAGTGGCCACAGCAGGTAGAGCTGAGCTGATCTGAAGGCAGAGCCACAAGCTTCTTCAGGGTCTCCTATGTGGGTGGAAGGTCCCAAGGACTTAACTGTCTTTTGCTGCTTTCCCAGGCCCACAAGCAAGAAGCTGAAAGGGAAATGGAGAACCTGGGATACAATCTGGTGCCCAAATGGGATCCCAGGACTTGGAGGTAGAGAATTAGCCAGTTGAACCAATGAGAATGATTTTTTAATTCATAATAATTATTTCCATAATATATTATTTCACATAATATAGCAAAAACAATGTATATGGGACAGATAGATTTCTTTCCTGGTATAATCTGTGAGAAGTTTCAGACTTTAAAAAACATACACATTTTTAAAAAAGAATTTTAAATTTTTTATTGAAGGATTTATAGAAACAAGGACAGAGAGAAAGATCTTTCATCCACTGGTTTACTCCAAATGGCCATAACACCCAGAGCAAAGCTGATCCAAAGCCAACAGCTAGGAGCTTCTTCCAGGTTTCCCATGTGGGTGCAGGGGCTGAAGGACTTGAGCCATCTTCTGCTTACTTCTTAGGCCATATGCAGGAACTGGATTGGAAGTGGAGGAGCCACGACACGAACCGAGTGCCATTATGGGATGCCAGCACTGCAAGCTGGAGGATTAGTCTGTTAAGCCACTTTGCTGACCTCCAAAGCACATATACCTCTCTTTTAAGCTTTTTAAAAATTATTATTATTAATTTCATTGTATTATGTGACAGTTTTATAGGTACTTGGATTCCCTCTACCCCTCCCATAACCCTCCCCCCATGGTGGATTCCTCCACCCCGTTGTGTAACCACAGTTCAAGTTCAGTTGAAATTCCTTCATTGCAAGCATATACCAAGCATAGAGTCCAGCAACTTACTGTCCAGATAAGTTCAATGGCTTCTTGGGGAGACCTTCTCTGGTCTTGAGGTAGAGCCAACAGAGTAAAATCCCAATCAATCAAAAGCCCCAACATAACATCAGTAACAATATATAACATTATGGAATTAATTGACATAGTAATGAGTAAACAACATGTTAAAAATAAATGCAAGTTCTTAACCACATCCTGTGACTACTTCATTGACATTTCAACAATTGAGGTGCAAAACAGTTTTAGGAGGGGTGTATAGAGAAATCCTCCATAGCTTGGTGAGGAGTACTTAATCTTTGTGTCCTACCTAGTCAGGTTTGTGTGAGTCCATGCTGACCAAGCTTTCCTTGTTGTTCTCTGCCCATCTATTCTAATGTGTGTGTGTGTGGGGGGGGTGGCCTCTGGAGCGATCCTGATGGTTCTTTTATGCTTAAGACAAAGCTGGGGCCCAGCACAGTAGTCTAGTAGCTAAAATTCTTATCTTGCAATTTCTGAGATCCCATATGGGTGCAAGTTCATGTTCTGGCTGTTCCACTTCCCATCTAGCTCTTGCTTGTGGCTTGGGAAAGCAGTAAAGCATGACCCAAAGTCTTGGGACCCTGTACCCACATGGGAGACAAGAAAGTAGCTCCAGGCTCTTGGCTTCAGATTGGCTCAGCTCCAGCTGTTGTGGCCACTTCGGGAGTGAATCAGTGGATGGAAGATCTTTCCATCTGTCTCTTTCTGTAAATTTGTCATTTCAACAAAAAACAAGACAATGCTACAGGGCCTGGCACAATAGCCTAGTTGCTAAATTTCTGCCTTGCACATGCCAGGATCCTATATGGGTGCCAGTTTGTGTCCTTGCTGCTCTGCTTCCCATCCAGCTTCCTGTTTATGGCCTGGGAAAGTAGAGGACAGCCCAAAGCCTTGAGACACTGTACCCACATGGGAGACCTGCAAGAGGTTCCTGGCTCTTGGCTTCAGATCAGCTTAGCTCTGGCTGTTTCAGCCACTTGAGGAGTGAATAAGCAGGCAGAAGATTCTTCTGTTTCTCTTTCTCTCTGTATTTTTCTGTTTCTCTTTCTCTCTGTATTTCTGCTTTCAAAAAAAAAAAAAAGACAAGGCTACAAAAATTTGTTAAAGCAAATGTTCTAAAACTTTCATTTGCTCTTTAATATTTATTGATATGGTTACCTTTCTAGTTTTAAGTGCACTCTTTTAAAAAATATTTATTGATTTTTTTAAATTGAAAATTCAGATATACAGAGGGGAGGAGAGACAGAGGAAGATCTTCCATCTATTGATTCACTTCTCAAGTAGCCACAATGGCTGGAGCTGAGCTGATTTGAAGCCAGGAGCCAGTAGCTTCTTCCAGGTCTCCCATGTGGATGCAGGGTCCCAAGACTTTAGGCCATCCTCTATTGCTTTCCTAGGCCACAGGCAGGGAGCTGGAAGGGAAGTAGGGCTTCAAGATACAAACCAGCACCCATATGGGATCCCAGCGTGTACCAGGTGAGGACTTTAGCCGCTTGGTTACTGTGCCAGGCTGAAGTGTGAATTTCTTTAAATTCTAATGCTATGAAATGCATTATAAAGAGCAATTATACAACTAATTCTACTTTTGACAGGGTGAAGCCAATGAGGAAATACATTTAGTTGAAGGGACAACTTTTTGCAATAAAAAAAGCAATATGAAGTATATATGTAGGGGTGAACACTCCCCTGGTTCACTGGTTACAGACAACACTTTGAACTCTTTCCATCAGTGACTTGCTTTTTGCCACAACTGAACAGTAAGCAGCCAGCCTGATTAGTGAGCACATCATAGCTACTGAGCCATGAAGTAGTAGGTAGGAATCCTTTGCCTCAGAAGGGAAAAATACATTCCTCTCTGGAGTAAATATTGCTTTTCACCTTTTTCTTCCTAGTAGTAAATAGGTAGGTCAAGACCCTTCTAAAAGGCAAGGCTGTCAGTCCATTTCTCTCCTTCCCTCTTGGGGAACTCAAGTTGATTATGCTAGGATTTGTGAAAATTCTTTTAGTTAAGAGGGTACTCAAAGTCTACCTCAAAAAGTATCTTTCCAAGTAGCTTATTTACTAGGAAATGTCTTTGGGGAACTCACATCTTCAGTTTTGTAAGCAGACCTGTACTTCAGGAAGAATTGGGCCTTATCTGGCTCATAGAAGCAATACTCCATGGTTTATAACTCAGAAAAAATGGGGCTTAAAAAAAAATAGACCTTATTTTTAGAACAGTTTCAGGTTCTAAGAAAAATCAAGCAGAAAGTAAATAGAGATCCCACCTATTCCTGGTCCTAGGCACACATGCGCCCACTATCAATATTTTGCACTAGAATGGTATATTTGACACGAGTGACACTTCATGATCACACAAAGTCTATAACTGGTATTAGGGCTCACTCCTGGTTTTGTATATTGCACAGATTTTGACAAATAAGTGACAGGCATTCACCATTATAGTACCATACAGAATGGTTTTATTGCCCTAACAAAGCTCTGGACTCCAACAATATTTTTCCCCTTCACTCAACCTCATCTTTTTCCTGAGTCTGTAGTTTGGAGTTTTACAGATGTCATTAGTTGGAATCACACAGAATGTAGCTTTTCCAGAATGGCTTCTTTCACTTAGCAATATGCATTTCAGTTTACCCCATGGTTTAGTGCTTTAAATTTCGGTCTTATGGTAGGGATGTGGTCACCTTTGCCGTTTTAATTTGCAGTTCCATAATGACACAATGTTGGACATCTTTTCATACGCTCACTTGCCATCTGCATATCTTATTTTACAAGTTGCTCTTTTGCGTGCCTTAAGTGGTGTGTCTTCTTATGAGATTTAAGTGCCCGCTGTGTAAACATACATGTGATTGTGTACAAAAACTAATCAGTTTTGTTTATTTGAAAGTTAGAGAGACCAAGGTAAATCTTCATCCACTGTTTTGCTCCTCAAATACAGCTAGAGAGGGGCAGGCCCAAGCATAATCCAAAACTCCAGCCGGGAGTCCCAAGCATAATCCAAACCATCCAGGTTTGTGGCAGGGACTCAGAGTACTTGACTCATCACTCGCTTCCCAAAGTGTGGATGAAGCTGGAACTGGAAGCAAACCTTGAACTTGAACCACAGAAATCTGAT